GTCTAAACCCATTTTTTGTATCGTTCAATAAAAAGATTTGTTCTCTTCGTAAAAAAAAACAAGAAGCAATTGAAACGATTCTCGAAAATCTTTAATTTAGGTATTGTTCCTCCCGTGCTACATGTTTATTTCGTTTATAAATTATAAAAAAATATTTAATAAATTTGTGTTTAATAAATTGAATCAATAGTTATTGCCTTAGTCGTGGTAAGATTCTGTCGGTTCATATGAGATTATCTTAAATATAGATATCGTACTTTTGGCTTAATTAGATTAGATGTAATGTGTCACAACCCTACTATAAAGAGAATACGTTGTGACCCTCACGTCTAGACAAGCAAAGTTGCAACCCTAAAAAGACACACATTCGACCACGCGAGGGCTAATATAGAAGTATCTCATGATGGGACCGAAGAGTACGGTGCATCACCTAACTCACCATATAATATGTACATTGAAAAGGAAACGAGACATAAGCAAGATAGAGACAATGAATGGACATGAGTGTCACAGATAAGCTTGTTGAAGGGTCGGGTAGGGTTTTGGACCTTAACCTTGAAAGTCGAGTTCTGAAGGGAATTTGGGCATGTAGTTCTAGAGTCAAGTCTGTCCATATGAAATATGAAATCTCGTCAAATTTGGTGTCAATTGGATACCAGACAGATGCTCCATGACACCGTATATTAAGAACATTAGTCTAATTTGAATAGTGTGGGGTTGACATATGAGAGAATCATATTAAAGTAATAACTTAAAGGGCCTCCCTTTTCCTAATACTATTATATGACTTACTTTGTAATTATTAAAAGGATTTGATCTAAATAATATATTTAATTTTTCTTTATAAATTTGTTAATGGACAGATCTACGGTTAGCAGATATTGTCCTCTTTGGACTTTCCCTTCGAGCTTTAAAACACAGTCTTCTTTGGACTTTTCACACCCTTATAAATTGTGTTTTGTTCTCCTCCCCAACCAACGTGGGACATCACAATCCACCCCCTTTGGGGCCCAGCGTCCTCGTTGACACTCTTTCCTTCCTCTAATTGATGTGAGACTACCACCAAATCCACCTCCTTCGGGACCCAACGTCCTTACTGGCACACCACCTCGTGTCTACCCCCTTCGGGGAACAGCGAGAAAGCTGACACATCGTCCAGTGTCTGGCTCTGATACCATTTGTAATGGCCTAGATCCACCGTTAGCAGATTAATATTTCATCGGATGGTCATGTGCGACTCATTCTTAATCACGAGTGAGTTGTAGACTGCTTGTCATTTGCATGGGTGAGAATGAATTTTGTAATTGATTTAATATGCCTACTATAGTGTTGAATTCGAGACTTGAACGATAATGAAGTCTCACCTTTTCACATGTTTGAGAAATTGTAACGATTCAAAATTTCCATTTTTGCCTTTAAGATTTTATTTTTATTTCTAAATGACAGATATTAGATTATGCATTTATTCTCGCTAGAAAAGGTGGAATTTTAAAGAATAGAGTTATTACTTTAATGGAAATTGTAACGATTCGAGTTTCTGGAATAAAATAAAATTAAAATAAAATAAATAATTAAATGTAATGTCTTGAGATTATCCTAAAACCCTAAACCCGAGAATGCTTGGGGAATGCCTTGAGATTATCTTTATATTTCTATGCCCAACCTTTTACCTCCCTTCGAAAACTATTTTCTCTACAAACTTTTCTCCGAAAGGTTGGGTTCCTCTTCAGAGGAAGAATCGAGTGGAAGTAAGGTATTGATGTCGGGATCATTGTGTCAAAGAAGGTTGACCGTTGGAAATCGATGTTGAGGATGTTGTGGGATCGTCGGCGCGTCGTCGGAATCGGGGAGGCAGAAATTAGGGTTTTGTCGCTTGTCGGGTAAGGAAGGCGAGGTTTTTTGGAATCGGGTCGAGCCACAGACGCACCCAACAGCTCCGGCAGCTTCACACGCATACACAATGCGGCTCGGCTTGCACATGTACGAAATCGGCTCGGTTTCGTCAATTCCCGCAGCTCAGCTTTGGCAACTTAGTTGGTCGGCTTGGCAGCTCGGCTTATCGGTTCAGTATCACTATAATATATCGATTCCAAGGTTTTTGACTTTATGAAGCCATTTTTTGCACTTAGTTTTACCATCTGAGGTCAGTATGGTTCCTAACCGTCAAAGACAGATTGGGTCGGGAGTTTATTTTGATAAATAGCATGAGATTTAGCTAGGGTATGTTATGAAAGATTCCTAAGTTTTTATGGGGTTATTATAGGACGTACTGTTGGGATTAGCTTATTGTGAGTGACTTCGGCCAAGGCCATCGAGGTAAGTGACCTTACTGTTGAAGTTAGTTTACTACGTGTGTATGATGGTGCGTGTCCTGTGGCCCCTGCATGCACCATGTTTTATTATGTGATATGACTATATGATGTATGAATTATATGACTGTTTATACTATGAAACGTAGTGGGTTATGTTGACTGTTGACTGTTTATGTTATGTGAAGTTATGAATGATATGTTAGTAATATATGCCATGAAAATGTCGATCAATGTCATGGATACACGTAGTATTATCTAGTCATGTTATGAGATGTTTATGCAACGAGAATGTACTTTCATGTTATGTAATATAAGTCATGTGAGATGCCATGTAATGTAAGAAACGTATATGCGATGTTAGCATGACTTATGTAATGCCATGTTAGATATGTTAAGGGACCTCATGCATATATGTATGTCACGTGCATCGGGATTCTTCCCTTTTATGATACGAAAGAATGAATTACGATATTTATGTTCGTCATGATATTATGCGGGCCCTTTTTTGTTTAGTGGTGTCCGACGACGTGTGACACGTTGTGGCCGACCAAGTTAGGCCCAGGGGGTATGTATACAAACCTGCTTGGTGGGTCCATGTACGCGCACATGGGCCGTGTGTGAAGGAGTACCACACACCCAACCCTATCCAGAATAGAAAAGCGCCCAAGACTATGTAAAGTTTATGAAAAGTTAGTTCCCGCTCATATGTTGGATGTGTTTTGCATTTCTAACCCCAACAGTGGGTGACTTACTGAGTATTTCATAAAATACTCAAGTCACGTGTTACCTTCATTTTTCAGGTAAAGGCAACGCGCCAATGTACAGTTGACAGTGGAGCTGAAGACACTGCCTTTATTGACTGTTTTAAGTTATAGAGTATTGTTTTATTTAGATTTATTTTAAATTTAGTTATTAAAGGTTTATTTTCGAAGATAGGTTTTTTTTGGATTTATGAATATTTATGAAATACTCTTCCAAGGTTATTTATGATGAGCTTCAGCATAATGAATTATGCATGCATGAGTGACGTCACTAATTACGTTTAGAAAATTAGGAGCATTACAGAAATACTTACCCATGCATGAGAATGAGAAGAGTGAGAGAGTGGAGCTTCATTGTTAAGATGTCACGGCCATGCTTGCCTAAAGCATGACAGATGTCACAATCTTGCTTGTCAGTGTCGGTTGACAAAGACGTCAATCAATTGAGTGAGGAGGATGTCACAGTCATGCACGTCCAAGGCGTGTTGTCAATGGCCGCATGACTGATATCCCGGTCTTACTTGTCCGGGACGTATTGTCCATGGTTGTATGCTCGTTCAAAACTTCTTTTACATGCTTTCATCTTAGATAAGTTTTTACCATTTCATATTGGGTCAGTACGGGGTATGACCGTTCACCAAAATCACGTATAGACGTGCAAGGCCTAAAATGTTCCAAAATATACTGTAGGGAGAAGTTATGTTCTCACCCTTACAAACATGAGTTGATAACTCAGTCAAAATTAAAATCTAGTCGCACATGATACCGTTATTAAAAATCTGAGAATGTTAACTTTTGATCTGGATCTCGATATAAAATAAATTTGTAGATTTATTTCTCGTGCTAATGAAGTGGGACCATTCTCATTAATTGATTATAATTAGGACATAAACATGAGTTTACTTCTAAATTGTCGTTTTTATGTCCAAAGATCAATTGAAACATCAAAATGTATTAATGTTTCATTTACAAATATAGCAACTTGTTTGTTCATTTGCATCATCCCATTTAAAATGTTTTGTTTTGTTATATATCTTTTAATATGTTTGAGGTGTCAATCGGATACTTGTCGAACGATGCACGGGACCATATGTTCGCTTGCCAAAATGACGTCTACTGGAGAAAGATTGGAAATACCTCAAAATACATTATAGGGGAGGCATGGTGTCATCTCTCCACCACCCCTAGCCCCTATGACTTAAAAAAGCTACCATGTGATACATATGTGTATCACAACTAGCGTGGGTAACATGACCGTATCATAAAAGGAATGTCGAGACCATTAGATGCTAAATATGAATTTCAAATCTTGATCCGAAACCTGAGAATAAGATGTTACATGTTTGTTGTCAGCACTCCTAGAACGAGGTTCTGCCCATGTTGCAACACAATTAGCCGCGCAAAAGATGGCCGAGGGAATTTGGCTTGAGGAGGTACTATTGCAGCTAAGAACGAGTCTGACCAATCATCATACTATTGCAGCTACAATGGGTTTAACCATTACTACACAAAATCTAATCTTTTACAACTTAAATTTAATACATCTAACAATTATTAAGAGACATTTGTTACCGTTCGTTATTATAGTTAAAAAGTTCGTAGTTGGACCTTGGGTTGGATCGATCGGTCCGTCTATGGTGAGCACCGATTGACTCGTCTCTTATGTCGGTACCTTTGGAGTGGGCATGTAGGCAAGGGTGTGAACATGGACTTGTAGTTGTGCTTGCATTGAGTAGGTGTTAGTGGGCATGATGTGTGCACAAGGGTGATAGGGGCGTTGCTACGGTGTGGGGCTTGGGGTATGCACGAAGGCGAGCATTGGTACCCATGAGCACGCCTTGGCCATAGGCCTTAGCATGCACACGAACCCACACCAACCCAACTCTCGCATGCATTTTAAATGACGACCAAATGGAGCTGATCCGAATGGATCGTAATTAATTTTTTTATTACTAAAAACTTTTAACCCAAACAAAAAGAAATCACAAAAAACGGTTCCTATATAACATAATCAGACCAGTCATTTATATGAGAAGTATGGTCCATTGTGAAACTTGGAGTCTTATCCAACTTAATCGGATTCGCCTTCCCGCCGATCAGCCTCGCCGGATTCCCAACCGCCGTCGTCCGCGGCGGCACATCCTTCAAAACCACCGACCCAGCTCCGATCTTGGCCCCATCGCCGATCTTAATATTCCCCAAAATACAAGTCCCAGCGCCAATCAAAACCCCATCGCCAATCTTCGGGTGTCGGTCGCCGGAATTCTTCCCGGTGCCACCCAAAGTCACATGGTGAAGAATTGACACATCGTTTCCGATCACCGCCGTCTCGCCGACGACAACGCCGGTAGCATGATCAAGCAAAATCCCACATCCAATCCTCGCACCAGGATGAATATCAACCGCAAAAGCTTCGGCGACTCTGTTTTGTATCAACAGAGCCAAGACTTTCCTTCCTCTGCACCAAAGTTTATGAGCGATTCGATGCGATTGCACCGCTAAAAACCCTTTGTAATTCAAAAAACACTGCACGTAACTAATCCAAGCAGGATCCCTTTCTTTCACTGCCTGCAAATCCCTAATCGAACATCGCAAAATCTCGCCGGCATCCTCTTGAATCACATCGGTAAAAAGCTCGAACAGAGTCGAACTCGGAAGGCTCAAATTACAGAGCTTAATTGAGAGATGGTTCGCTAGAGCTCGTTCCATGGAGTTATGAGATAGAATCGAAGTGATGTAGTAGCTAGCCAAAATGGGTTCGTGTTCCATGTCGGCTCGAGCTTCTTCCTGGATTTTGAACCACAGATCGGAGTCGGAAACAGGGGAGTTGAGGATTTGGGGATTTGGGGAAATGGGTGGCGGAGAGAGATGATCGGAGAAGGTGGGTCGGGAGAAATTGAGGATTTTGAGATGAGGGTCGGTGGGGAGAGGAGTGGTTGGGTCGCAGTGGAGTGGCGGAGAGTTGTGGTGGAGACAGGCGGCGGCCATGGGAGAGGGATGGAGGTCGGGGGAATGGGAGATTAAGGAAGAGAGATGGAAGGGAGAAGGGTTGTGGAGGGCCATGGGGAGGCGGAAGAGAGGTCTGTATAGAGGGGAGGGGAGAGGGGTGAACATAGAGAGGGAACTGGAAATTTTCTCGGGAAAATTTGGGCGATTTTCCCGGAAAGTGGTGAGAGGAATGGATAATGAGGGGAAGGGAAGGAGGTCAGGCAGGAATGGTGTTTTAAAGAGGGAGAAGATGATTTGAATGTTGGATTATTGATGACGATATATAAAATTTTAGCGTCCACCAATCATATGATGAAAATAAAAAAATAAAAAAAATGTTTGGCTGCTCGGACATGTCTCGTGTCTTTCTCTAACAACTCAAGCTTACTCACTCGTAGTAGATAGATATTGTCTCATTTAGTCCGTTATGTATAGCCGTAGGTCTCACGATCTTAAAAAGTGATTTTTCAGGAGAGAATTCCACACCCTCAATAACGAATGCTTTGTTCCCCTCTCTAAACGATGTGGTATCTCACAATCCACTCCCCTGAAGGTCAGTGTTCTCATTGACATACCGCTAAGTGTCTAGCTCATATATCATTTGTAACAGCTCAAACTCTTCATTACTAAATATGGTTCATTACGTATCGTTGTTAGGCTCACAGTTTTAAAACACGTCTTTTAAGGAGATGTTTCCACACTCTTATAGTAAGGAATGTTTCGTTCCCTAATCCAACCGATGTGGGGATCTCGGACCACTAGTAAAATGAGTGATTATGTTGAGAAATGTCTATTTTAAATAATATATTATATTTTTGTTTATGAAATATTATTCCGTTTATTTATCCTATTTTAATTTTTTTTTGTCACATCTTCGTCTTTCATCAATAGCTTGAAGATTAAAGGTCTGACTAAGTCTAGCCTAAGCTCGATTTAAACTTATCTCAAAGTCAAATTTTATCGTCTCAACTCAATTTAACTCATTTATTTATGAGATTAGATATGAATCTCAACTCAATTTGACTAAGTCTAGCCTAAGCTCGATTTAAGTCTAGCCTAATGCACGAGCTTACCCGTATGAGTTAGCCAACTTGAACCAAACCTAGTTTATTTGTCTATTTTTTGAGTCAAATATTCAACGACTCTTTCACACTCAAAGAAAGGTAATATCTCTATTTCTTAAAAGTAGTAGACATAGACATCTAATTAAGAAAAGTTATAAACGACCCCTAAACGACCCCTAGGTATTCTCTACCTACCCACCTGTGTCGGTTTCGGGTACAGGTACTCTTTTGTTGAAGGTCGTTCGAGCTTTTCCTGGGAGTATGGCATGGGTTATTTCAGCGCCGTAGCGCCTGGTACTCAAACATTGGCTCGAGGTATTTTCTCTACCCCTTCTTACCCTAAAAAAACAGGGGCACCTTGCGTCCTTGAATCGATAACCATCTTTCGGCTAACCTAGCCTCCTCCGTCCCTCAGGACCAACAAGGGGGTAGTACAGGAATATTCACCTGTTGTCCATCAACTACGCCTTTCGGCCTGATCTTAGGCCCTGACTCACCCTCCGTGGACGAACCTTGCGGAGGAACCCTTAGGTTGTCGGGGCATTGGATTCTCACCAATGTTTGCGTTACTCAAGCCGACATTCTCGCTTCCGCTATGTTTAGGATTCGGAATCTGAATTTCGCACCGAATGGCCTTGTCATTTCCTTTTGACATGGTCAGGTTATCTACTTCTCGATTCTTAAGAGTAAACCTAATGGCCCCGACACTCCCCTACGACATGGTCAGGTTATCTACTTTTTGATTCTTTAGAGTGAAGGCTATCCCCACATACCAACACGAGAGGTCACCAAACATAAAATTGCTCCAAACAAAACACGTTTAACCATGCAGTTCCTATGATTGAGTTAGTAAATAGGAAGGTACCCTTATTCTCAGTATCACTCTCATTCAGATGTGATCTCGGTTTATTCATATACTTCTTATTTACTCGGGTGTAAATCGTGACATTAATTTATTTTATTGTTTGTTTAAAAAAAAACATTAAACTATTTTAAAATTAATTTTCCAAATGATCCCTAAGTCATAATTGGGCCATGCTAGTGAGAAAAATATTTCAATAATTGATTAATTAAAGCAATTAAATGAAGTTTGACCCTACAATATGCAATTAATAGGTAAGAGATAAGCTTTTTTATTCCAATTTAATTCAATAAATTTGCAATTCCTTTCTTCACAAGCTTCTTAAACAAAATCAAATTTTAATTCCATCATATTTTAAATCAAAATAAAAGTCGTAAGCGGGTCCAATTCAGAGAATAAAACTCGAAATTTCTACTAATTTTTTAAGAAATTTGGATGAGAAACGAAAAACTTTTATTTCTTAGATGAATTTTTCACCCGAGACTATAAAATTAATTTATTTTAAATAATACACGAAACTATTAAATAGACATTTTGCATATAATTTATATGAATATGCACGGATTGAGAGAGACCTCCAGATCCAAGGCACCTATGAACTACGTCGTCTTAAACGAGACATTTACATTATCAAATTTGGAACGGTTTAGGTTGTCTTGTTAAATCAGACAACAATGTTTTTTTTTTTTTTAATGGTCTAAAATGATGAGGTTATAGTTTATTATTATTATTATTATTATTAGGGAAAAAGAAATAAAATAAAATCCACTTTAAAGCCACTCATTCAAATAAGTTGTATGTGCTTAGAATCCACATTGTGGAGTTGTGATCCATCCTTTATTATACTCCAAACATTTGTCTATCAATGGTTCAAAATGTTTTGGAATCTTTCTCTCTTTCTCTCTCTCCTCATTAATATCGGTTCGAATTTTCGGCTTTAAGCTATCATCTTTTGGTGTTAGGGTTAAATTGCTCGTTGGGATCGAGCGGGCTTATTGTTGGTAAGTGCTGACTTAAGTACTTTTTTGTGAGAGCTTACGTTGGTTGGAGAGGGGAACGAAATATTTCTTATAAGGGTGTGGAAATCTCTCCCTAGTAGATACGTTTTAAAATCGTGAGACTGATGACAATATGTAATAGAGCAGAATGAACATTATTTGCTAGCAGTGGACTTGAGCTGTTACAAATGACATCAGAACTAGACACTGGGTGGTGTGCCAGTGCGGACGCTGGCCCCAAAGGCACAATCATTGGAGAGAGGAATAGGAAATCTCTCACTAGTAGACATGCTTTAAAATCGTGAGGTTGATAGCGATACATAACAGGCCAAAACGGACAATATTTACTAGAGGTGGGTTTGGGATGTTGTTACAAATGGTATCAAAACTAGATACCGGGCAGTGTACCAATGAGGATGTTTGGCCCCCAAAAGGGGTGAATTGCAATAGAAACCTCTCCCTAGTAGACATGCTCTAAAACCGTGAGACTGATAGCAATACATAACAGGCCAAAACGGACAATATCTACTAGCAATGAGTTTTGGCTGTTGTTACAAATGGGTATCAAAACTAGATATCGGGCAGTGTGCCAGCGAGGATGCTTGGCTCCTAAAGGGGGTGAATTGTGATGGAAATCTCTTTCTAATAGATGCGCCTTAAAATCGTAAGACTGACAACGACACATAACGGGCCAAAATGGACAATATCTACTAGCGATGGGCTAGGACTATTACATTTTCTAAATCTTTGATTATCGTTTAAGATGCTACAGTAATTTTGACGCTACGTATTGAATCAACCAAAGGAGAAATAAATATACATAATGTTTTGAAAATAGCGCTTTTGAGGTAAGTAACTTTACAGTTGAAATGATTGGATGATTGATTGATGTACATTGAGTCACGTATTTTCCTAAAATAATAAGCCACGATCATCATATGATTGAGATTATGTATGCTAGAATATGAAAGTGATGCTCGTCTCCAGAGTTCCATGTCCATGAAACTACGCGTATGAAAATGATACACATCTCGATAATAAAAATAGAGCTCAAATCTAAGACTAATAGTCATGATTGCATGTGTTTGCATTTCTCGAGTCACTTATAAACTACTTTTAATACATCATGATTGATTTTAATATTAATATTATTAATATTATTAAGCTAAAGTGGAATGACGTGGCAACGATACGAATAAATATGAATAAAAAATTATTGGACATTTTCAATCCTACTCCACTAACAATTAGTTTATATATTCTTTTAATTTATTTTATTTCATCGATTTCCCATTATAATTAATTAATATTTTATTTTATATATTTAAATGCTATGAAACTATAAAAAAAAAAGATTATTTTTTTCATAATAATTCCAAAAGATTTTAAAATTTATAATTAAATTAAATAAAATAATTACAAAAATTGAAGATTTTACATCATATTTAAAATTAAAATAGATTAAAAAAAATGTAACAACACTATAATGTATTGTGGAGTGTAAAAAAAAGCATATTTATTTATTTATTTATTTATTTTGAAACAAGTAAAAATGATTTTATTGGTATAAAATATTTACAATAAAATGACGAAAAAAAGGTTTAGAATCTTTTTGGTATATTCTTCACATCATTTCAAATGTTTGTCTAAAGAACTTTATTCTTTATGGTCCAATCCCAATAATGGAACAATTTTTGTAAAATTTATTTATTTACTTATAGAAGAAATTGATATTTGGATAAATTTAGTGGTTTCTGACATTTTGAGGTGAGCTCATCCACCAATAAAACAGACTTTCAAGAAAGATATGCTCCTATAATACACGAGGGGAAGTGAAAGGGGGCCAGCCATGAATGGCGGTTGGAATTTAAAGATGGTGAATCTCACTTTGGTTGGAGAGGGAAACGAAACATTCTTCATAAAGGCATGAAAACCTCTTCCCAATAGACGTGTTTTAAAACTATGAGGTTGACGTATTTCAAAGATTTTAAAGATTGTGATATTTGTTAGGACTCTCGGTAGTATCAAATAGTATGCATTAATGGAACATTAGAAGCAAAATCATATCATCTGAGGCCTAAGCAAATAGTTGATTATGCATATTGGATACAGCCCTTCTCAATTTCAGTTAATACAATTCATTAAGAGACTGCAAGAACCAGCTACTCTCTCTACGACGTGCTCCATCGTTATCGTTTACACGATTTCAAGCTTTGATATACCTCAGTGATCACTTACTACGAAATTCATCACCTAACATGCAAGAAAGCAACCAAAAAGTGTTGGAGAATGCATGAATA